CAAGAGGGCAAGCCGTCCCGATCCTTTCAGTAAAGTAAATTGGCAATTTAATACATGGAGGCATGGTTATCAAGCTACCTGACAAAATCATACCACACAAACTCTGTTCCATTGTTAGGCACTATTCAGAGGAATCTGGCCGGTGCTGCCACACTTTTCATGCCTGGTGATGGTGGCCATAACTAAAATGAATGTCGGATACCATAGTGTTCCAAACACTTCCTATTAGTATCCAGTCTGCCTTTTTAACATAACTCTGCACTCTTCTTATTTAGGAATGCATTGGTTGACCCGGGATTAATAGTTATGTGGCGGACCACCTGGTAACCCGACCGGTTACCTCCGCTAATACCCTTCCTTCAGCTGATCAGGAACCATTTAAAATACAAAGAGACCCATTCCCCACCCCCCTCCCCCCAGTAACTGGACGAGACACAGTTCTGGAGGAACAACTCTGACAATCTTTATTGAAGACAGGCTTCTTTTATGCACAGACCCCTGCAGGGGGTCTCCATTCATTCAGTACAAATTTCTCAGTCCCAGGCTGGTGGGGGATGGCTTACCGCAGATAACCATCTCCCACTCTGGGAGAAACCAACTGGACAATAGTTACACACATTAAAACATAGTACCTACAGGGGGGACACTTAGGGGCTCCGCACCCCGGTAAGGAGTCACACATATTAGACACATATCACTGCATAGCCCCGGGTCCACTCTGGGATCACTGCAAATAGCAGGGCTATCGGATGTACAAAACCTGAGAAATCATCTTCTAAAGTCTGGGGCTCGAGGCTCTGTTCATCCCCAAAATTAGTTCCAGGGAGTTGCTTAGTTTAGTTCTGTGAATTCAAACTTCGTGCCTAAGCCAAGCAACAACCAAATAGCTGAAAGCGTGCGCCAATCAGCGCTCGGGGAGGAGAGGAGTTTGTTGCCCAATCCGAAGAAAGGGTGCGAAACTCGGTTAAACCAATCGGCGCTCGGGGAGGAGAGGGGTTTTGCCACCAAATCAGACGAAAGGGTGCAAAACCCCATTTGAAAGGCGCTCCTTCTCTGTTTGGTCGCCTGCGCCCCACAGTGACCAATAAGTGCTCCCTCGTGTCGACCAATCAGGAGAATGGTGCGAACCCAGTTTGGTTGGGCCAGACTTCCAGGGACGTACACACAATCCATGGGGCCCCGGTACGAAACTGATCCATGGGGCCCCCCACCCTATTCCCCCCCCTCTCCCACCCCACCCCACCCCGACAGACACATACATACATACATACATACATACAGAGACACATACATACACACATACAGACCTACACAAGACATACAGACACACACACACACATACAAACAGGCAAAAATACAGACAGACACAAGACACACATACATACAAAGACACGTACATACAAACAGGCAAAAATACATACATACAGACAGACAGACACAAGACACACATACATACAAAGACACATACATACATACAAACAGTCAGGCACACAGACACATACAAACACACACACATATACAAAATGTTTACGTCACCCTCCTGTTTCCTAACTTTTAGGTGCAGGAGGGTGAATTTCCCTGGGGTCCAGTGGTGGCTCAGGTTGATGGGAGTCAGAATTCCCACTCTGACTCCCTGTCCTTCATCCCGCGCGGCTCTCTGATTGCTGGGAGGAGTGACCGGGGCAGTTACTTCTTCTTAGCAGTGATGCCCTCACAGGGGGCCCGGTCGCGCTGTTAAAGTGCCACAGCGCTGACCGGGCCCCCTGAAAATTCATCTCCATTGGGTGGCCCTAATAGCATGGGGTCACCCAATAGACCCCTTGGACGGCAGCCCCGGCGGTTTGCCGTGGGGGTCGGGGCCGCAAAACATGGTGGTTGGTACAGGGTCACAGTGGTCCGCAGGGCGGCCAGGCCCCGTGGAGTGACGGGAGCCCAGTCGCAGCTGTACCCCTATATGTACGCCGCTGTGCACGCCTCTCCCTGGCAGCCACCTCCACTGAGGCAGACCTCGGGGGAAGCGCTCTTTAGGCAGCTACGAGCCTGGCCTTGCAGCCCCCGGGTAGGGGGAACAGTGAATATGGCTGCTTTAGGAGAAGGTTAGGGTAATCCAGACCACCAATACCCCAGAAGATATCCCCACCAACATCCCTGGAGTTCCCATGCGAATCCCCCACATGGAAAACATCCCTCTTGGGGATCCAAGTGCTCCCCCTGGTGATCACCCAGGGGAATGCTCCCCCTGGCGGCCACCCAGGGGAGCGCTCATTAATTACTTTCTTTGCGGTTTCACACCTATGTTGCAAGTGCGAACGTTCTGAATAATTGGTGGGAACGTTCCAATGAGGCACCGGGGTAGTCCTCGTTTGGGAGGCGCATCGGCTCCGTGCGCCGGAGCACCCCCACAAGGTCAAAAGGCATTTTACACAGTTAAAATAAAACTACATGGGGAAACACATTTAAGAATGGGGAATCTACGAATATAGAAGAGGGCAATTCACGGACAGCCAGCGGTCCCGCCACAAGTTCTTTACTTTTTTCTTTCCTGGGACATCCTTTTCTCTAAACACATAATACAGCTATGCTCTTGTTTGAGGACCAAGAGATGTTTATACTAATCCAATAAGTTAAATTATTTGTTTCCATCACTTAGGACCTGCATGTCCACATGCATTGACACAGATTTAAGGACCTGAGAATCCTACTATATCTTCATAAAAACATGTAATAAAGATAAATACATTTTAAAAATGTAATTACCGCTCTGAATGCTAGGAGTGCCTATTAATACCTCTAATACTATAAATATAAGACATCCCTATATATCAGATCACCATAAACAGGGAACCCCATTACCTCAGCACAGCAGAAAGAATCTGCTAGTACCTAACGAAACTAGCTGTAGAGGAAGTATATAAGTATAAAAACGTGAACAATAGTAGCCCAATGTGTGAACGTCCTTGTAGGTCCAGAAGCCCTAGAGGCCTGCATCACTTTCTCTGTGGTTGTGATATAATGTACCTCTGTAATGGCGTTCTATGGGACTATGGCTGTAAGCCATTTTGGGATGGGTAAGCAATGAGTGTGGTCAAGCAAAAAGGCTTGTTCCGGCACAAACATTTGACAAAGTCAGACAGGTGCGGCTTTACCTCTTCAATGTGTGTATGGGTCAAGGAGCGAGTGTTGGTGGGTATGTGTGTCAGAATGACATGTGCGGCGGGTCAGTGATTATGTGTTGCAGTGTGTGTGTGTCAATGAAAACGTGTGTGTAGGTTTGTGAAACCAAGGTTTGATTAAACAAATTCAAGTATACAGTACAGAAATGTTGCCATGATTTTATTGAACACACCATGTAAACATTCACAGTGCAGGTGGAAAAAGTATTTGAACCCCTAGACTAATGACATCTCCAAGAGCTAATTGGAGTGAGATGTCAGCCAACTGGAGTCCAATCAATGAGATGAGATTGGAGGTGTTGGTTACAGCTGCCCTGCCCTATAAAAAACACACACCAGTTCTGGGTTTGCTTTTCACAAGAAGCATTGCCTGATGTGAATGATGCCTCGCACAAAAGAGCTCTCAGAAGACCTACGATTAAGAATTGTTGACTTGCATAAAGCTGGAAAGGGTTATAAAAGTATCTCCAAAAGCCTTGCTGTTCATCAGACCATGGTAAGACAAATTGTCTATAAATGGAGAAAGTTCAGCACTGCTGCTACTCTCCCTAGGAGTGGCCGTCCTGTAAAGATGACTGCAAGAGCACAGCGCAGACTGCTTAATGAGGTGAAGAAGAATCCTAGAGTTTCAGCTAAAGACTTACAAAAGTCACTGGCAAATGCTAACATTCCTGTTAGCGAATCTACAATACGTAAAACACTAAACAAGAATGGATTTCATGGGAGGATACCACAGAGGAAGCCACTGCTGTCCAAACAAAACATTGCTGCACATTTACAGATTGCACAAGAGCACCTGGATGTTCCACAGCAGTACTGGCAAAATATTCTGTGGACAGATGAAACCAAAGTTGAGTTGTTTGGAAGAAACACACAACACTATGTGTGGCGAAAAAAAGGCACAGCACGCCAACATCAAAACCTCATCCCAACTGTGAAGTATGATGGTGGGGGCATCATGGTTTGGGGCTGCTTTGCTGTGTCAGGGCCTGGACGGATTGCTATCATCAAAGGAAAAATGAATTCCCAAGTTTATCAAGACATTTTGCAGGAGAACTTAAGGCCATCTGTCTACCAGCTGAAGCTCAACAGAAGATGGGTGTTGCAACAGGACAATGACCCAAAGCATAGAAGTAAATCAACAACAGAATGGCTTAAACAGAAGAAAATACGCCTTCTGAAGTGGCCCAGTCAGAGTCCTGACCTCAACCCGATTGAGATACTGTGGCATGACCTCAAGAAAGCAATTCACACCAGACATCCCAAGAATATTGCTGAACTGAAACAGTTCTGTAAAGAGGAATGGTCAAGAATTACTCCTGACCGTTGTGCATGTCTGATCTACAACTCAGGAAACGTTTGGTTGAAGTTATTGCTCTAAAAGGAGGTTCAACCAGGTAGTAAATCCAAGGGTTCACATACTTTTTCCACCTGCACTGTGAATGTTTACACGGTGTGTTCAATAAAAACATGGCAACATTTCATTCTTTGTGTGTTATTAGTTTAAGCAGACTGTGATTGTCTATTGTTGATGATCAGATCACATTTTATGACCAATTTGTGCAGAAATCCATATCATTCCAAAGGGTTCACATACTTTTTTTTGCAACTGTATATTAATATTTAAGTGTGTATATATATATATATATATAAAAGAAATTGCTTACATATGCATAAAACACTCAAAATGTAGAGAATAAAATCACTTTACTTGGAAAATACAGC